AAGATGATTTTCAAAATGAAGGCTTCAAGCAGGAAGATATATTCAGTGGCAATTTTTACGTTTTCTTTCTAATATCTCCGGCTCCCGATATTCTCCAATTTTATATTGTTACAAGAAAGATTTCATTTAAACTAGAGATCTTGCTATTGGCCATAGCTGTTACATTTGGCTGGATCATTTCCTGAGGCAGCAAATTCCTCAGATAGGCTGCATAAAATAGCATTTCTACACAAGATTTCCAAATTTACTGTCCTTTAATTTTATTGAGTACTCTCCTCTCAATTATTGTTACTCTGTGAAAGGTTATATACTTCATTATAGAATACTTGAAGCCTACATTGACCTACATTTGAAAAACACTATCATGACATTCTATATTCATTACAAATCAATTAGCAATTTATACATGAAATAAGACTGTAGCCCTGGTGTCCTAGCTAACTTAGTTGCCATGATGCTGCAGCTCTCCAGTAGTGTGCACTAAACAAGACAAACTTTTCAGGTTGCTGGTTTCCAGTGACAACTGCTCTTTTGTGGTGCATTAAACTTTTCCTGTAACTTTCAGTTATTTATGAAAAACATTTGGTAAAAAGTGTCAGGGTGTGGGTGTGTGAACTGTAAAGTCTGCAGAATTGAGTGAATTGTGTCTACCCCTCCCATTAAGTGACTGAAAGACCTCCACTACATGCTGGGTGATGCTCAGCCATGATTTTAATAGATGATATGCCTCTGATATTTGATCTGAAGTATGATGCCTGTGTAGTGAATGCGATACTTACAAAATGTGCCAGACTACTATTCCTGGGGGAAAACAAAACCCAAACTTGTAAACAAGTAAAGCAGGCATGTCTCCTGTGGCTTTATCAATATGACTTTCACCTGTGTCTTCTGAAGAACCAGAAGGGGTAGGCACAAAAGTCTATTTATAAACAGACTCATTCCTTGGCCCCTACTGAAACTACTGGTTCTAATTGTGATCAGCCAACTTCATAATTAAAAATCCTGGTGTTATTTCTAGGAGATTATTTGTATCATTGAAAGATAAGCCTTCTACTGGATGTTGAAATGCCATAGTCATGGTAGCAGTTAAGGATTATTGGCAAAGGTAAAGCTCTTCCCCAGTACACAAGGTCCATCGGACCTCAAATACACTGAAATACCCTCTTTTAGTCATGATGACGAGTGGTTTCTTTGACCTAGTGAAGCAAGGTTGTATCCCACTTTGCAGATTGGAAAGCTGAAGCATGGTGAGTCAAAATGATGTCCCCATGGTGGCAGGGAAGGTATGTAGCAAATCATGAGAAAGGAACTGAAATCATTATCTCCGAGTTTTCTGACGGACAATGCTTTAATGTTTAGAAATGTACCAATTTTCTCACTCTTGAGAGTAGTGAGGTGTGAGTGTTAAGATGTGAACTGTGTAAGGTCAGGCAGTTTGACTCAGAAAGCAGAATTATTTCTTTAAATGGCAATTTGCAGATTCCCACCAATGCTGTGCTTCCAGCTGACCTAAGAATTGTACTATATGTGCTTAATCAGGCTGCAATCACCTTGACTACTGTAGCTAGAATATTATAATTTAGACCTACGCTGGCTGACAGTCTTTGTTCAGAATTACAAATTTAGAAGATAATACACCTTGTCTATAGAGGTTCATATGGTTAATAGTAAACAGGGAGAAGAAATGCACTCAGTGACCAGGGAGATGAGCTGTGTGTCCTGAGTTGTACTGTCCTTCCTAGAGAGGTAACCTATAACAAACCATTTTCTGTTCACTGTAGACAACAGTGCAAAAAACATTCTGCAGACCTTATTTTCTGCAGTCAGTAGTGTACAAATGGTAAAACTCCTTCTGATCTTGTCATGACCTTCTGCAGTTTCTCCACTTCAGCAGCATAAATAGATAAAAACAGCTCTGCCACCAAAGTTACACTTGACAAGAAAGCCTCCAGCTGCAGTCAACAAGATGTGTATTCATACACACATGATTAATAGCTACATATTAGCAGAATTATGAGAAGTTTCCAGGATGCAGTTTCATTTGAACACAGGTGCAAGGTTTTTACTGATAACTGCATGGGAGCATTGGGCTGTTGAGAACAGACCTTCCTGGGCTTCTAGGATACGTTCATTCTGGAGGAAACATTTCCAGGTATTTGGAAGGATGCAATCTCAGACAAGAATTCTATGTTTCTTAAATGTTGATATGTTGCTGTTACTGTTCTGAGTAAGTCTGTCTCTTCCCCTCAACCCCAAACTTCTGCCAAGCAGCCTGTATTTCTGCATTTCTCCTGCAGATGTTTTTCAAGAGCAAATAGTAAGCTCAAAGAGTATAATTTCTTTACCAAAGGGGGGGGGGGTAAATATTGTTTACTAAATACCTTATGTTATATCAACATATAACACACATTTCTGTCATCTGTGGCTCAGTCCCACAATGTATAGAATAATCTCAACTTCTACTAAAGAAAATGAGACATGAGAGCACCAAACATAGGGAGTACAGCAATAGAGAGACAGAGTGCCACATACTGATGGTTTCTCCACACTTGAGAAGCTATCACTGTCTCTGCCTCTCAGCTCCACTGTTACATATACAACTGGGCAATAAAAAGGAGATGAAAAGCTAACCTCCTAAATGTTCAGTCTGAGAAGTCCCAAATACTCTGCTGTACCAGAATGAAGGTCTATTTTTCAGGATTCATTTGTGCTAATACTGGCTGGTGCAATTGTTATGCAATTGTGCAGGCATTGGGAATAACCAGAGTACACTATATGCTGATTCTATACTTTACCAGGCCACAATGGAAGCTTCTTGCCATCTGGAAACTTCTTCATGCCAGAGTAGCACAGAAGGCACCCTGACATGCACCTGAATTCTGTACCCAGCACCCTGGTGTTTGCTATTTAGGATTCATTTGTACCACAGCTTTAAGTTTTATTTTTCCAGCTAACTTTCCCAGCTGACAAAAAGAAAAAAACTGCCTAAAGATAAATGCCAGATAGATGAGGCTTTTTTATCACCATCTATCATAATTAGAGGGAAGTGGAGTCATCATCGTGCCTGCATTGGTAAATTCTTATGGCAGTTTTTCAGAATCATCCATACTCATTGTTTGTATGGATTGCTTTATATAGATAGTCATGTTCTTTGTAGAAGAGAGAGAATATTAAGTCTCATTTGTTTACTTATATCCAGCTTTGGCAGTTACATTTTGCCTGCCTGATTTTTCCACTGTGATTTCAGGTGAATGTTTGCTTCCATCTTTATATGCCACAATGTTTTGTTCTCTCTAAAGCGCTGATGTGTTTCACACCAGAGGTATCTACTTTTTGGTCATGTGGGATGAAGTGTGGTTTGCAAACATAAAGAATATTCAGTATTATTTGTAAACTAACTGAACAAAACTGTTAAAAGGGAAGCTAGTTAATATGCTTAGGGAACGTTAGATGCTCAGGTACTTTCTTCTGACCACCAATCATATTAATCCTGTGAGGAAAGACCTGATGAACTGTTTTCACACAGTCAGATTTTTAGTTTATTTTTTAATGACTCTACTTCAGTTGCAGCTAAGGAGCCCTGAGATAGAGTTCTGGATCAGCCCACTGACTGTGGACTCTTGCCAGACAAGGACTTTAGTGAGTGTACTTTGAAACAAAAATGGATAATGGGCTTTCATCCACAAAGAACTCCTTATATTAGTGTTATTCTCCTGCCTTGTCTTATTGAAGGTCTGAAATTACCTTCCTGACTTGTTACGCATCTTGAGTCAGATCACTTCCCCTGAAGTGTGTCTCAGTGCCCTTGTATGGAAGAATATTTCTTCTGTGATCACAACAAATGCTTAGGTTGCAGAGGAGAGGACAACATAAGATAAAGTTTTCAAAAGCATGGAAGACAAAGGAACTAGGATGCTTTATGCATTTAGGTACTTGCAAGTCTGCAATTTATGTTTATCAATCATTTTAGTGCTCCTGAAAATGTTAACCACCATCTGTTTCTTTAATAATGCTATGTCTGGCTCAGGAGATGAGTGCTTATGAAAAGTAGGGAAGAAAGGACTGATATTTTGATATCATCACAAAAGTGAGAGTCTATTAAGGTATCTAGCAATTTTCCAAAATGTTGAACTTTGAAGAAGACTTCAAGTTAAATTGTGTTTATGTGCAGATACTTTTAGAATATATGCAGTATCTTATTATGTGATAGAGTTGCTCTACACATAGTACAGATTCAGGCGCTAAAGCAGTAATCTGCCCGATTCGTTTGCAGGTGCTTGTAGTACTGTAAAAGCCAGACCTACGCTCTTGTGATTCAGTTTACAGTCTCAATTTCTTTGAGTATTTCAGTTGTGTAGGAATCAAATTTTGAAGGAAATATTCATCCTTTAAGATGAAAAAGAAAGGTTGTGAGAAGGCTTTAGAATGTGAGAAGGCTTTAGAAAACGCTTGACCAGGTTAGAATACAGTGAACCTTGAAAGGTGCTTCCTCAAAAGCATACAACTACTGCCCTCAGTGGTAAACTGTGAAGATTAGCAATTGGGAAATTTGCCCACAGTTACCACATGCTCTCTCTGAGGTACATGGGGAGTAAACATGATCTGACAACATGCTGTGGCCATGCTTACCAAAACCTAGCAGTAGTTTCACTGGCAGCAAATAGCGTATGAATGTGCAGTGGTTAGAAGTTTAGGAATCATCAGATGGACCCTTGTGGTGTTGTAAGAAAACTCCAGAAAGTGACAGTCTATACATCTAAAAAAGTGCCAGTATGGCACGTGGTTATATCTCAGCCTTTATTAATCACTGCCTCTAAGGAAACAGCTAGAGGAAAAATGCAATCAAAGGAGGCCTCACATCAGAGAGAACATACAGAAACTCATTCTATGATTATGTGTAAACCAACCACAGGCTCTGTTTACAAACCTTTCCCTCTGTTCCTTTGCCTAATCATTTCTGCTTTCCCTCTCTGTCTTCTAACTTTCCTTCATCTTTCCAGATGCAGGACGCTATGGGCTATGAGTTACCATGGGTGTATTTTGTCAGTCTGGTCATCTTTGGATCCTTTTTCGTTCTAAATCTGGTTCTTGGTGTGTTGAGCGGGTAAGCTGACAGTTTTGGTGTCCTTTTTCCAATGCTACAGGGCAAGACTCCATAATAAGGGCTCTTCCCTGTCACCAGGATTCTTTCAGGGGGATTAAAAATCTGAATCCAAGGAAGCTTCACATCAGCTCTCAAGTACTTTGACAAAATGTTCAAACATTACAAATAACAATACAGGTAAAAAAAGAGGTGTTATTCTCTGGCAAAGAAATTCAATCTCAGGGCATTCAAAATCACTTTAATATCAACCTGTCATAAACTTCCAGAAAACTGGTTATTAAAAATCTTAACTGCTGGTGACTTGGGATCTCTTTGGCTGGAGCCTTGCAGTGCTCAGAATCTGAGCTTGTCTCACTAATTATCATTCCACTCTTCCAGGTCAATGATGCCATAGGAAGGGACTGGCCCTGGATCTATTTTGTTACACTAATCATCATAGGGTCATTTTTTGTACTTAACTTGGTTCTCGGTGTACTTAGCGGGTAAGCAGTACGAGGAAAACATTTTATTATTGTTTATTTTTTTAAATTTGTATTTCTATTCCAACTCTCTGATTACCAGAACAAGGGGCAGTGGTGGGTCGATCTCAGGAACCTTAATAGAAAGCCTAGGGTACTGCTGCACCAGTAGCAAAATACAGCATTCCTACTGGCATGGAAGGAGTCTTTTGACTAAATTGAAGGGATACAAGACAACTCTTTGCCTGTAACATGCTCCTCTACCTAAAACCTCTACCTGTATTTTGTGGGAAGAGGACAAATCTATGCTCCCCTGCAGGTGAAGCACAGCATTCACCAAAGAAGGGGATTATAGTAAAATTTCTGGAAGGTCAGTGGGACTGAAGAAGGAATGAGAGCATGAGACAAATCCCTTTGCATTTGTGGGATGAGATTCCTGCCAAGTTATATCTTCTCACATGAGGAATGTTCACATTGCTTAGTGCTTAAAGCACAGCCTAATGGGAGACTGTTTTCTCTGGAGTGTGTCTTTGACACACTTCTTCAATTAAGCACATCTTCTCCATTGTGCAGTTACAAGCCTATCGTGATGCAGGGAGAAAAGATCATTTCCCTCTGACCTGTTCTAAGGATGAACAGAGAAGCAGGAGAAGGCCTTCTACTGCTTAAGCATTCCTAAGACATCTAGTCACTTAGCTGTATTTCAATTCTGCAGTATAACCCTCACTGCAAACCAACATTTTAGTAGTTTTGATTAAAAACAATTGATATTTTCCCCAGTAATTACAAACTTTACCACCCCTGGGGAGCCACATAAATGACAGGAATCAAGCCAGAAAACATCCCTCACAAGATTTTTATAAAACTATCTCCTAGAATTAGGCATCTAATTCCATATTTGGGTATGACTGGGTGTCTACAGGCATTCCATGTACATAGATAAATATGGTATGAGGACTTTTATGCATCCTCTTCTTCTTTGTTTCCAACATCCTGCCTCCTTTAATGAGTTCTAAATGAATTTGGTCAGAGCCTGTACCTGCTGCCTGAGTGGGCAGCCCATAAATCCCTTGTCTTTTGATCATAAGAGAGGGAAAATGATGTCTGAGCAAGAGAGGACTTGATGCCTCACAAAAATTATATCCTCAGTACTTGGGCCAACAGCATAAGAAGGGCAGTAGTGGGACTGGAGAAGATGATCCACTATTGGCCATCCTCCAAAGAGACAGGTAATAGCAGATCTACAAGAGGTATTACTACTATCTTCATTGCTAAGACAGCTGCTGTGAAGAGAAGGGTTTCCAAGCAGTAATGGGAGTGGGGAAAAAAACCAACCTAGTAATGAAGTGTCAGGCAATAGTCTGGTTTTGGATAGTCTGGAGAGTGATACTCTGGGTACAATTTTAAAGCATTTCTCCCAGTGGATTCTCTGATCAGCAGGTAAGGATGCCAGCAGAAGTGGAGGATGATAACCAGCTGACAGAGGGAAAATGATCTGTTGCATCAGAGGTGCACTCAAAAACCATATAAGACAGTGGTTGAAGATTATATAGTATCTGATTGGATAAACAGTGCCTGTGAGCCCAGCCCTGAGGAGTGCATGCTGTTGGAGCACTACTAATTCAATTTACCTACCCTTGGATTTGTCTCTGTACGTAATTGAAAACTGAATTTTCTCTCTCTTGTTTTTCAACTCAAGAAAGTGTTTTGGGGCCTGGATCTTCCACCTCCTGACATACTGCAGGTAGACCACCGCAGTTAGTGGTAAAAGATGGAAACAATCTGTAGAGAGAACTGAAATCAAAGATGAAATTCACCTTGTTTAAGATGTGAGTCACTCTTTTCTGGCTGTGTTCACAGTGTTATGACAGCTGCACTGTTTCTGTAAAATTTTTTCCCAACTGGAGAAAAAGTAAAAAGAGTTTGCATCCATGAAAAAAAACCACAGAAATTATGGGAGAAATGTTCTAAATTTTCTTTGGGCTAAATAAGCAGTTCTTAAACAATTAATTTTCTAAAGGAGTTCTAAATTCTGCTGAGTTGTGAAGTGTGTTCACTTTGCAGGTTCAGCTTTTTTTTAAACTCGCTATTGCTGTTAGTCTGACCCAGTAGATCAGATTGCTATTAGCTGATCCACCTGTCCTATGTTAGATAGAAAGCAGTATTCTCGGGCATCTTTTTTTTATCTATTCTGGGCATCTCTGATTTCTTCCTATTTATCTATTTCAGGAACCTCACCAAGCATGTCATGTAGACTTCGTCAATGACAGATTAGCTTAGTTTTTGTAATCACGTCTGAATACGTAAGTGTAATTAATTGTACTCACAAAGACACCTTGATTGAACCTGAGAAATCACATGCTGAGTTCTGCTCTGCTTAAAGAACTCATTTGAACTCATTTGTAATTTGTTTTTCCTCAGGTATGTCATCCGTTCATGGTCCTTCTGCTAAATTTACCAGTCACACATGCTAAGCTAAATAGTATGACAAAGTATTCATGTATGGAGCTCTTCCTCTCTTGACTGAGCATAATATAAAATGCATGTGTTCCAAAGGAAATATCCAGTCAGCAAATCACACAGTAGACCTCCCCAAGCCCAGGCAAAAGGATTCCACATCATTGCTATGAGCAGTGAAGCCCTTCTTAGAGGTCTCTTGATCACGTGTGTTGTCTGTTTCAGTCAATTACTGAGGAAAAATAATGGCTGCACACCTAAGCGTATAGATTCACATTTCTTCTATATTTTGTCTAGCAGTGATCCAAATCCCAGGACACAGGCCAAATAAGCAGTTGCCTAAGGCAAATGAAGGGCTGGAGAACAGCCTTTTATTCTGGTTTGAGAGGATCCTGGAAAACCCAGTTGGCTGCTTTTGATGCTCTTAGTGCCAAGGAAGAGGTCAGAGTGGATGGGAAGCTGGATATGGTTTTAGCTCCTTCTGGAGCATTTTTTTTTTTTTTTTTGTGACATTTCAGGACTTTTCCCTAGTCTTCTGTCCTCTCTTCCAACCCTTCCCATGCCTTGGTGTACTTCTCAGGGTGGATGAGGCTTTAGGTCTTGTACTACACCTTTATTAGTAAGTAAGAGTTTTGAACTGCTACAGTTCTGCTGGTTTGCTCACTTTCTTTCATTCCTCTAAATGTGAGACATCATACTGAGATCAGATATAGATAAGAGTTACTTACATTCAATCATTAGGATGGGCAAGAGAAATTGTCTTCTGGAACAGAACAGTATAAAGAGCTGGGTGTTTAGATTTATGATATTGACCCACTCTAACCTCACACAGAGAAAACATGTCTCCAGAATGCTCTGCTTTTTGGTATTCTCTCTGGCAGATGTATGTTATAATTTCTGGGAGAAATGAAGCAAACTGAATTCTGGTAAAAACAACCAGATTCACTGACACTTAAACTGATGTTCTCTTGTTCACTGAAAAAAAAGACAGATTGCTCAGTATTTCTACAAGCCTTTTGTCAACGTAATCCTGACATCATAGTGCAATCTTTTTTGAGAATGTCACCTCCAGACTCAAGATGGCACTTCCATCAGAAAGCTTACTTGGTCCTTGGCCTCCCTGCTGAAACTGCAAACAATGATCATTTATTGCCAACTGTGATGGTGGCAAAGGAAATGTGCACACCTGCCTGCAGTAGGAACTGGACTGAGGTCACCAGCTCATTTCACATGGGATGGTAAATTACTACTGATAGTAATTCTTGATCATGAACAGCATTTGTCAGAGTACAGGCTGGCATTCCACATGGGAAGTGGTTTGAATTGCATTAGCGATTTCCTGAGACAATTGTTCTCAATGATTTAATGTTAGTAAAGCATAGAAATTAAAGTAATTTAAATAAGTTTTCTTTGGAGGGTCATCCATGGAGTATCATACATTGTACAAAGGAAAGAAACATGCAATTGCACATTGTTTAGACTAGGCAATCACAGTATCACAGTATGTTCAGTTGTGCCATTAAAAAGCTGTGTAACAAATTCACTCTTATGTAGATGGTCAATGTAAAGACATCATGTTAAAATCTCCAATTGGTTTAGTCAGCTCTCTCCCCAGCCTGAGTCCCATTTGAGAGAGACAGTAAGTGGGGACTGAAAAGACCCAGACAGGCGTGCAGCTTAGGTGCATCTGACAAACAATCCGCTTCAGTGCGCAGAAATTTCAGTTTCTGTAACTTGGGCTGTTCCATGATGTTTTCCACTTTTGTTTCTACAACAGCCCATTCCAAGTTATAACCATGCAAATATAAATGGTTCTCACTTGTAGCTGAAAGCTCAGCCCCTTTCAAAATTGGATTCATTTTTCTTAGGCTGTGAAATACCAGTTTAGGAGTCAACAACTGAAATATTGGGATTTGATTTATCAGATAGGCTTAGTAATATAAACTTTTTTCCAGTCCTTTTTTTAGAGTTAATTCGTTAATTTGGATATGGCACTGTGTCAGACCCAGAGGAAAGATGTTACTGAAGCAGAAAATATAACTGCTGTTGATTGAATTTTTCTAAAATTCTTTATACAGTTTTTATTATTATTTCTAAAAGCTTAGGATCACAGAATGGTTTGGGTTGGAAGGGACCTGAAAGATATCCAGTTCCAACCCCTGCTATGGGCAGGGACACCTTTACCTAGACCAGGTTGCTCACAATCCCTTCCAACCTGGTCTTATTTTTAAGGGGTTGTTTGGTCTAGATTTTAAGTAGTAAAATATCACTCCCAGCATGAGAGAATTTGATTATTTTTTTTCATCCTTGCCATGCTTGCAATAACTGAGTCTGCCTTGTGGCTAAGTTTGGTCCCAGGGTTGACTGTGATCCAACAATTCTCCTCTTCATTTCCACCTTCATTATTGCAGTCCCATGGGGATGGGCTGACCTCTCAGCAGCGTGACAGAGGTGAAGGTCACATAGGTATAATATAGATATATTTGTCACATTCTTTGGCTTGCAGTGAAGGAATCATTCTACTTTTGTTCTGCTGCACTGCTGGTTTTGTGCACAACTCATAATGTTGAAAGCATGATCCAAAGCCTGTGACGTCAATGGAAATCTTTCAGTGGGTTTTAGACCAGACAGGAGGGAAGTACTTCACCATCACTGTTAGAAAATCATGTCTATCTCAGTTGCTTGAGGACACTTCACATGGCACTCATTAACATTTTGGGTAAGATTTTCATCATCCTAATATTATTCCACCAAAGTAATTGTTACATTTTCTATTTGTTTTTGCAGGAGCAAACCTAAGAAAAATATAGGTGAACATTTTTGGTTTTTTATTCATTTGTTGCTGACAGTCATCAGCAATTGCAATGGATAATGCATTGGAAAAAATGTCTTTATCTCTCATTTCTAGAAACAGCAGGCCATGTTATCTGCTGTGTGTGCCTTATGTAGTGATCTGCTTCAGCAGATACAAGACTTAAGGCTTAAGTACTTTTGGTCCAGCACTTTTCACAATCATTGAGCTTACTTTTTAAAATACAAGCGTGAAAACCTGGTTTAGAACCACAGGAGAGTCTCTAAAGAGAGGTAGGTCAGCATTTCTAGAAAAAAGAATAATGCAGTATGGGTGTCTCTGAAACAGAAGAAGAAACAGCACCACAGCCAAAAAGAAGACAAAGCAAGCAGCCAGGTTCATAACTAAGCAATATGAAATTCTTGTTCTTATACTTTGTGTATTAAGCTATATTCCCAGTAGTGGTCTTTCATAAAACTATCAAAGTCTACCCTTGTTCACTTTCTGGTAGAATCTATTAGTTTTGTCTACCCATAAGTTACCACATTTGCCTACCCAGGTTGATATTTGAAAAATATGTTTCATGTCAGATAGCAGCCCTGAATACTGAAAGTCTGCAATAAAACATTGAGGTCTGAGTTCTTAAACGTATTATTCAGGACTGTGGTTAAAATTGCACGTAATTAAATGTGTACAGAATTGTGAGTACTGTTAATTACATTTACAATTAGCCCAATTTAGTTGTGATTACATATAAAAGTGAAAGACAGATTGAAACCTGGCTAAAAATTTGAGCCACCGTATCACTCTCCAGATGTCAGATTATTGTCAGGCAGTTCATCATTGAATTAAATTAACCATTATTCATATATAAATTTATGGATAACTGTTGGAGAATATGAAGTGGTGAAGAATATTAGAAAGTATATGGTTTCATACATAAATGCTACATACATGTTTTGTTTGAATTGTCAATCAGATGTTGAGAATCAAAGGATTAAAACCAGGTATACCTTTTTCCTTAATCATTGATTAAAATGTGGACACTCGATTTTATATGTGTATCTAGCAAGGATACTCCCTTCATGTGTCTGTCTTTAAAGAATAGAGAAAGCTGGGTGTGCTATACGGGATGTGGAGACTTTTTAGTGGAAATCAATCTAACACACAGTTTTTCAATTTGTTCCTTCCCTCTGCCTATGTCCTGCCCCTTCCTCCCTATTGCTAGGGAGTTTTCCAAAGAAAGAGAGAAGGCTAAAGCTCGAGGTGATTTCCAGAAGTTACGGGAAAAACAACAGCTAGAAGAGGATTTGAAGGGGTACTTAGACTGGATAACTCAAGCAGAAGATATTGACCCAGAAAACGAAGATGAAGGCATGGATGAGGAGAAGCCTCGAAACAGTAAGCAATTTTCTTCTGTCTGTCTCTCCCTTTCTGTGCTTTTAGCAAGAGAGCCTGTTCCCACCTGCTGTAGTGCTGAGACGGCTTATAAGTAAGAACAAGTTCTTCCTGAGACTCTCACTAGGTTTATACAGGATTCCAGTTTAAGGCCTGTTGGAAACTGTGAAAGGGAGAAATACGTGTACAATAATTGCTATTGGTCTGCAGATCCTGTTTCTTGTCTGTGATACTAACATAAGTTCCTGGTATTTGACAGAAAAAAAAGGTCAATACTTGCTGTTAAAGTCCACTATTGAGATAAGTTTTAAAATTTAAATCTGTCTCCATTTATTTGATTGCAGTTCAGTGTTGCAGGCAGTTTACACATGGTTAATTACTTTGAAAGCAACGGTTTCTAGGCAAAGCAGTACTACTGTATGGGAGAAGGGCCAAATCAACCCTGCTCTACAGTAAGTGGGCCATCTGTAACTTCATTGAAATCAGTGAAATTGTGTTTGGTTTTGCCAGGCAGGAATTAAGCTTTCAAACATTTCTTATGAGGGAATTATCTCTTATTCTTATGTTCTGGAGTTGAGAAGGTTGTTTGTGCACAGTGAGAATTCACCATCCCTCTCGTCTTATTAGAAATCCTGAAGATGGAAAGGCTTGAAGAAAGCAGTGATTCTCTACATTTCATTACCTTCATTGAATATTCCTCTTCCTTCTTCTCTTTGACCAGTACAGCCTGTGTAATACGTCAGAAATACCTATCAGAAACGTTTATCATTGCAGGTTGTGCACTTTGGAAATGTCAGACTTGGAACCTGTAGACAGTTACACAGTTCATGGGCACTGCCTGTACTTTTAGTTTTCGTTACAGAAATGGGCATTTTCCTAGTTTGATTTTGGAAGAGAAGACAGGAAACATTTCCCCAGAGATCACCCTTCGTACGAAACAACCAAAATCCATGAGATGATCAGAACAGTAACATATATTTTAGTAAGAAGGTTGGACATGGGAAACTTGTGCCTACAGAGTAAAGCAAGATATGTATCAGATGCTCATGATCTTTTGGGGAGTAAGCACTATTCCCTGTTGTCGCCAGGACATTGAAGAAAAAAAAGTACAACCTTATTTATATAAAGTTATACCCATGATACTGAGGCATCCGGGCTTGAAGGAGTCACGAAGGTGACCTGCTCAGAGTTTTCCCAAATCAGGTTATTTTGATTTTTATGCTGGTGTCTTCATAACTTTCATTACCTCTTCATTACCTCAGTAATCATTCAGAAATGAATTTATTCTTCTTGGCCAAAATTTGACGCTCTGAGGCATATAATACATGGAATAAATGGAAGGTGATGTCTGATGATCTAAATTAATTTGTAAACAGAATACCTTATATTTCAAAAAAAATAAAATAAAATAAAACCAAAAAACCCACTACCGTAGCAGGCTCTGGTTAGTATACTTATGTGACCTATGAGTGTGGAGGCGAAGAAATGGGTTGCACACAACTCCACTGAAGTCACCAGGAGAGTTTCCCTTGACTTCAGTGGATTGGGCCAAGTTTGTCACATTTCCTCTTTAGAGACTTGCCTGCTAAAGAAATGTGTAGCCGTAGTGGAGGCGATGAGAACTTGCCTTGCTTACTAGCAGATTTGAAGTTTTTATTTTTAAATGAACACAAAAATAATGCTGCTTTTGTAAAAGAGTTGTGGAATGTGCAAGGTGTAGATTCATTGCACATGCTGTGGGGTGGGGTCAATCCACATTTGAGCTGACAAGCTCCTTTATTGGGTGGTGATATTAAGAACTAAAATATAATGTATCTTCAGCTTGCTTTCAGTTCTTCCTGTTTAGTTTAATAATGTGAGTTTTGTAAGACACAGTTTATAGAAATTAGTCCTCTTATATCCAACAACTTGTCTATAGTTTCTTACAATTGGCTATTAATGACAGAATTGGATACTGTTAGTAAACTAACTTGCTACTAATTTCTTTTTCAAACTATTAGTGAATAGAGAGTCTTCAATGCCATTGGTTCTAAGTGTCAGGTCTAAGGGCAGTGGCTGCTGACCAGTCCCTTGTACACAACATGTTTTCTGTGACATTATGGCTTTGGGTCACATTATCCATTTCTGTTACATGACAGACCAGGTTGGGGAACAGATGTTTGCAGTGCAGAGTGCTAAACAGTAGAATTACGCCTCTGTTGAGAGGAATTGCTCAGGATGTAGAGGAAGGCTGTGGACTGATTTTGACCATGTACTGGGGACAGTAGTAATGTGAACAAAAGTCTCTGCATAAGAGAATAGCATAGACCAAGCAAACAGGTCACTCCATGAAGTTTTTTGCCTTTCTTCTGACATACGTGCTCCATCTAGTGCAGGCTATTGATACTAGTATTCTTCTTGGCACTTGTGGCCTGCATCTGTGAATGCCAAATTAATACTTCTAGCTTTGGTGTATTATCCAGTGTCTCCTCACCACAGGCTTTTCCAACTATGGAAGTAAAGGGTTTCTGTGCTGACATCCTCTAGTGAGGAAGCACATAGCCTCTGGGTACAGAAGGTAAAGAACAACGCTCCTCATTCCACCCTGAAGCCAGTTGGATACTTTCACTGAGCAGTTGAGGAGCTTGCACTCTGCCCTTCTGTATTTCTTAAATCACATTCATATTTTCCTGTAGGCTGTTGTATGTACTTTCACACAATTGCAATTTATTGCTTAAACTCTGTTGTATTTTTTGATATTTCTGAATTTCAATCTTTACTCGCACAACAGGTGGGAATGTATTTGCAAAGCCAAATAGCTTGTAAACATCCTCTAGTAAGATGTCAAACTCACTTAATTGGGTGATGTGCTTATCTGTCATGTATGTCACATGGGAAACTCCCAGTAACCTTACTGTGCCTACCCATGTGATTCCACATCTTGCTTATCTTACTGCCTGTGAATACACCTTCTGAAGAACCATCTCAACTCAGTCAGGTACTGTACACTAGTTTATTAACCAGCTCTGACAAGGCCTGCCAGTTCTCCTGAAGCTGAGTCATATTGCAGTTGTACTGCTCTTGGGTCTTGAGAAATCTGCTACAAAATGGGTTGAATGAACACTGAGTAACAAAATCAAACCGAGGAGTAGAACTCTTTCCTTAATGGCTTCAGGTTGAGATAATACCATAGAAAAGGTACCACGAGTTAAGTGACAGAGTGTTTTGGTTGGTTTTGATTGGGGCTTTTTGATGTGTTATCTACTGTGTTGAATGTTTGGGCATTCATGCCAGCAGTCAATCACCAGTAGAGTTAAACTGAGGAAAAAAGATGGTATTAATTCTCTTCCAAAATAAGCTCCAAGTATAACGGACAGATGGCACAGTTGTAAATTCCTCAGGAATCCCTTTGGCATGAGTGCCCCCAAGACATTTGAATCTCACCTACTAGCAGTGCTGAGCTTGCATTGCCAAGGCTCCAATGTGTTCCTTGTCTTCTTGTGTTTAGCTCTTGCCTCATATGCACCTTCAGTGTGTTTTTCTCTCAAATACTCTTCAAAGCTTACTGCCTCCTGTCTCCAGTACACCTCCTGAAGTGTTACTCCACAGAAGTGTTGCTACCCTGTCCAACACGCTTTTTTCAGTGTTTAATTAATAAATAATGTTGATATTTAAGGTATCAGCACTGTGCCTTTCAGATAACACTCACTGAAGTGCATGGGGCAGTTCAGACCTCCTTAAGTTGCTGGTTTAGCTGAGTAAACTTCAGGGGTTGCCTTTGCATCAGCTACGTTGTACTCATGCTCAGGAGACGTGGACTGCTGCCTGAACTCTGACAGTAACTCACACCATTACTTTAAAGAAGTCACATCAGTTTTTGCTTCCTCAGTTTTCCCTTGGAGGTTGTTTGGAGTTTTTGGTTTCTTTTGTTTTTTTTAGAAAAAATATCAGAAAAGTTTAGAAGTTTAATTAAAAATTACTTATTAAACTAGAGTCTCATGTAACATAAACTTGGAGATTCAGCAGCTTACATCATCTGGGCTCTGACCCAGGTAGTGTACCTAAACTGAATCATCCCAAACACAGAGAACATATGTCTCTAGACTCTTCTCTGTCCTTAGCTGCAGAAGGAGGTTTTACTGTCATCTTGGTCTGTAGAGAGGGCTGCCTGCCTGTCAGCATGGGAATTGCCTCCTGTAAAACAGAGAACACAAAGTGGAAGGGAAGCAAAATTCACTTGCATTCTAATTTGGTTTGACTGCCTGTGCCAGTCCTTAGGGCATCATCAGTCATATTTTGTATATGCCACTGCTTTTCTGAAGCTGTCAAACTTTGCCCTAAGTCTCATTCGGTGTTTACAGCCTTTAATGAAATGGTCAACAAGTCCAGGGACTAGAACACCAAGGATGTTAGTGGAGGAAAGGGTAAGAAAGGAAGATAAATGTAGCCAGAGTCGGTCAATCTGTGCAGCCTTTAGCTGATGCTCTCCATAGCAGAGGTCTTGGCATTCTGAGGCAGTTTATTACCAGTCATCTCTCACATGTGTTGAGGGGCATTCACAGGGCAGGCTGAATTCATTCTCTGTTTTAGGAAGTACATGTTTAAGGCAGTTTTTCCTTGTTTGCAAACATCATTTTGCCATTATGACAGATGTGAGGTGGGAAATGTGGAAAGGCTTCTGAGGGCTGTTTGTGTTGATGGTTTTCTTCTATGCTCTTTCCTTGATGGGCCTTCTACATGGGAAGAAAACATTAATTTGACAGAGAAGAGAAACACATGTCATGGCACAAAACAGCTACTGAATTTCAAAATCACATGATAACAAAGAGAACCATCCCTCCTGTTGCCACAGTAACTGGGAATTTGCCCTTTTTTTAATTCCTGAGTGTGGTCTGGAATGCATTTGTGTGGCTGTGGGCAGAAGCAGGGAACCTCAATCCAACCCAGATTCTCCTCCTATTGAAATTAATTGGCAAAATTCCCATTGACTGCACTAGGGTCAGGAAAAAGCTGTGAATGGGCAG